GCTGGGCAGGTGGCTGCTGAGGCGGGGGCTGCTGCTGCGACGGCTGCTGCGGCTGCGGCTGCTGCTGAGGTGGCGGCGGCTGCTGCTGGTACATGTAGTAGTTGTTTGAGGGTGGCATGTCGCCCAGGAGAGAGGAGAAGCCTGCGGGCCGGGAGGAAGGACATGAGGACTTAAGCCAAGTGTGTTTCACTCAGTGGGACTTTCCCTGGGCTGAGATAAGAAACCTCAGACAGGAGCTGTGGGTTAAAAAGGGGTAAGTGTTCTGGGACCACCAGGTTCCCCACGGTCTTCCCAGGAGACGGCAAACTGGAAAGCAGGTTACAGAGAGCCTTGGGCCTTGACACTGTGGTGACCACTGAACATAAATAAAAAGCATACACCTTTCCGTGCTACTTCTGAGGAATTTGTGTATAGGCCTAGAATCACAGTTTCAAAAGAAATCAGCAGGTGAAAAGTAAATTATACATAAAACAAAGCTGGTTTGGGAACACAGTTTAGTAGGAGAGTGCTTGCTTAGCAAGGGCAAAGCCCAGTGTTCCATCCCCACCAGTTAATATGGATTAGGGGAGAGGGAGGGACACCAAAGCCACAGTACAACTACTCTCTCCTCTTCCTCACTGTTTCCACAGTCCTCTACTGTCAGTGCCTTCTTTTATTCTTCTTTTACTAACAAATGAAGTCTGGGTGAGAAGCAGAGTAGAGAAGGATTAATTTCTCAAGCAGACTAAGCAGGGAAAACCTAGGGACTTTCTATCACAATTAAACTTAAATCAACACTGAGCTGTCACTTCACTCAAACTAAAATTACTTTGTGACTGTCTGCTCAAATTCTCATTCAACCAACCAACCACTGAATTAGATTAACTTCTCAAACTATTGCTACAATCTTGGAACACTCTGTAGATAGGGATCTCCTCAGATTTAAAAAAAGGAAAGTCCCTGTAAACCCAGGAATTTAGGAGGCTCAGGCAGGAGGATCACCACACATTCAAGGCCAGCCTAGGCCGCAGGGTAAGTTCAGGGCCAAACTGAACTACATGAGACCCTGTGTCCAAAAACCAAATACATACATATGTACACGACAATGTTTTCCAAAAGTGACTTCCAATTTTTATCATTCTATTCAGCTACTGCTGCTCACAAGGGGCCACTGCACAGAATGAGAAGATCCAGGGCCTCACTTGAAGCATGACCCTCACCACTGCCTCTAGTTTTTTTTTTTTTAAGTATAATAGCAGCACTCTGGAAGCTCAAGGCCAGCCAGCTACATAGTGAATTCAGGACCAGCCTGAACTACAAAGCAAGACCCTGTCCCAAAAAAACAAGCAAAGCCAAGCGTGGTAGCACACGCCTGTAATCCCAGCACTCAGGAGGCTGAGGCAGGAGGACTGCTGCGAGTTTGAGACCAGCCTGGACTACACAGTGAGTTTCAGAGCAGTCTGAACTACATAGTGAGACCCTGTCTCAAAAAAACAAAAACAAAAAACAAGTAAATAGGGCCAGGGATTTAGCTCAGTGGTGCCACGTGCCTGCCTTACAAGCACAAGATCCTGAGTTCAGTCCCTGGTACAAAAAAATAAATAAATAAGTAAAAAGAGAGAGAAAACAAGCAAAAAAAAGTATAGTGGTGATGTATACCTATAATCCCGGCACTCTTGGAGACTGAGGCAGGACAGTCACAAACTCGAGCCTAGCCTGGGCAACCTAGCGAATTAGCAAGACCCTGACTCAAAATAAAAAATAAAAAGGGCTAAGGGTGTAGGTCAATGTGAAGACCCTGGGCTCAATACCCAATACCACAATCAATCAAACAGTCAGTACCTAAAATGTACCAAAAAACTCAATGAGAAAAGAAAAAGAAAAAAGCTAAATCAGTCTCTTTTAAGTCATGTTCAAACGATAATCACCGAAATTTTGCAAGTAGATATTAGCTGTAATTAGGAGTGATAATGGCAGATAACTAAAGGGAACATATCATTTAGCAGTACACACTGGTATAAATCTGTAATCCCACTACTTGGGAGGCTGAGGCAAGAGGATCCCAAATTTGGGGACAGGTTGGGCAACCTAGCCCCTCCTCAAAATAAAAACAATTTTTTAAAGAGTTGGGAATATAGCTAAGTGGTAGAGTGTTTTTCTAGCATGACTGAGGCTCTAGGCTCAATCTCCAGCACTACAAGAAAAAAATTGTATTTATGGGTAAATGGTACAATGCCTGAGAACTGCATGAAATTACAGCAATTTCCAAACAAGTCAGGCAGTAAATAAAACAACTTTTTAAAAATGTTGGTAACCGTTAAGTAATGGAAATACAGGAGTTTATTACACTTTTTGCTCTATTTTGCAATCTATTTGAAATTTTTCATAGTTAAAAGTAACAAATAGAGCCGGGCGTGGTGGCACATGCCTATAATCCCACGACCCAGAAGGCTGAGACAGGAAGATTGCCAGGAGTTCCAGGCCAGCCTGACTACATAGTGAGTTCAAGGCCAGCCTGAATTGCACAGCAAGACCCTGTCTCAAAAAAAAAACAAAACATGTGCCGGGCATGGTGGTGCATGCCTGTAATCCCAGTGCTTGGGAGGTTGAGGCAGGAGGGCTGCTGTGAGTTGAAATGAGCCTGGGCTACACAGAGAGTTCCAGATCAGCCTCAACTACATAGTGAGACCCTGTCTCAAAAAACAAACAAAAAAAAAAAAAAAACAAGGGCTGGGGATTTAGCTCAGTGGTGCACCTTGCAAGTGCAAGGTCCTGAGTTCAATCTTGGGTACCAAACAAACAAAAAAAAAAAAAAAGTAACAAACAAGTAACACTAAAAAATGAAAATAAATTGTTCTAGCAAAACAGTTCTTGGACAGAGGGTACTACTGCTGCCCCCTCCTGGTCATCTTCTAAATGGCTCACCTGCAGCCCTAATGTCACTGATCCTGGGCTACAGATGTAGCTCAGGGATACAGCACTTTCCATGCAAAAACACAGCCTTAGGTTTAAGCCCCAGTGCCAAAAAACAAACAAAAGTGACTGTCTTTGGCTGTGGATGGAACAATCCTCAACCTTCTTTTTCTTTTTTTAACAGTACCAGGGATCAAACTCAGGACCTCATGCTTGCAAGGCAGGTGCAGTGCCAGTGAGCTAAATCCATGGCCCTCAACCTCATCTTGTGAAGCTAAAATGACCCAGTCACCTCCTGAACAGCTCCCCAACTCCAAACAGTCTCATTTCACGACATGTTCTCTCTGCCACAGTCAACCACTTTGGGTGTTAGAAAACAAGACATAGGCAAGAGAAGAAACTGTCACCACTTAATTCAAAAATATAAGGACAAGCTGGACCCAGTAGCACATGCCTGTAATTCCAGCAGTCTGGGAGGCTGAGGCAAGAAGAGCACAAGTTTGAGCCCACACAGGGCAACACAGCAAGATCCTGGCTGGGGAGTACAGCTCAGCGTTCAATCCCCATACTGCAAAGACCTGATGTAGACACAGATGACATGGACGCCTGGATGTGGGTGTCCAAGTGCCCGCCCCAGTGCCAGCTCACCGTGCTGTGAGGAGGATTTCTCCAGCATGGACTTGTAGAGGTTGCGGAAGGACCAGCTCAGGTCCTGGAAGTTGATCTCCGAGTAGGAGAATTTGAAGTCATGGTTGGTGCTGTACAGGGGAGGGGGACCCTCAGTGCTGTCTCGCCCCGGAGCCCCTGCAGCCACTGCCCCGCTGTCCACAGCCCCTGTGCCCTGTGAAAACAAGAAACCCTGAGTCACGGCTGGGGGGAGGGACCAGCAGAGCCTTCATCAGCCCCGGGCTCTGTCCTCTTCCAGCTGTTTAGTGACACCGTGCCGTGTTCCCCTTCTTTGTCACCATCCTCTATCTCTTCAGACATCTGACCTACACTGCACCCATCCCCTTCTCACAGCTTTCCGGCTTCCCTTCTACTCTGCTTCATTTTCTCCCTGGTGCTTCTCCAAGTTCGGCTCTGCCTTTCTCCCCCTCCCTCCTGCTCCTTGCTCCCTCTCCTGCTCTTCTCTGGGTTTCCTCCTTTCCTTTCCTTCCTTCCCAGCTGATCTGCCTGACACCCCACAGGACCCCATCCCACCCCAATTGAGTCCTGTCTTCCCCGCGCCCCGCCCGCTGCCCACCTGGCCATAGCTGGCCATGGATGCGGGGCTCTGAAGCGGCACCGGAGGGGTCCCCTCGGGAGGCAGTGAGGCTTCTCCACCCCCCGGGACGCCTCCCCGCGGGCTCTTGCTGGCCTCCTGTTCTGGGGAGTCTTGGGAGAGCTGCGTGAAGGGTGTGAAGGAAGAGAAATCCATGAGCAAGCAGGAAGCGTCTTGCCGAGACCTGTGGCTTCCCCTCAGCTGGTGTCCACTTCCACTGCGGAAAGGACTCAGAACCCAGGCAAGGACAAGTGGGGGGACTCACGTCATCATCTGGAGGGTGTCTCCTCTTCCGGGAAATGTCAGGGCAAGTGTCGATCGTCCAGTAAGAGCCCTGCAAGGAGAACCCAGCCCCACTGAGGACAAAATCATCACCTAGAAGTTCTCATCTTGGAAACACAGACTGTAGCAAAATTTTCACAGGATACTACAGTCACATTAACAGACAGCAGAGGAGTGCTTGCCTGGCATGTGCGAGGCCCTGGTCCATCCCCAGAATCACAATAAATAGAGCCAGACAGAGGGATGAGGAGACAGGGCTGGACATCCACACTGGACCCAGGGTCCTGGGTGGCACTGAGGAGTAGACTGGTCCTGCACACTCACTGAATGTGCCAGGCACACTCCTATACGCAAAGATAGCCTGCGTTCTTCCGAGAACCGCGGTGCCTAGTTCAGAGCTAAGAACGTCCAGAGCCATCCTTCCCTTCCCTGTGAGCTGAGGCAATGCTTTTGAACTCTGGCGTTCACATCTGTCAAACGAGGAGGAAGATGCTCCATCCCTTCTTCCTTCATGGTAAAAACCAGATAGTTTTCTATAGAAAAATTCCTATAAAGCTTATAAAGTCAACCTTTTATATCTAGAAAGAGTGCCACAAAA